CACAGTACTATTGTACAACAAAGTACTATTTTACTACTCAGTATTATTGTACTACACAGTACTACACAGTATTGTACTAATCAGAATTATTCAGTACAAATCTGACTCAGATAAAGTCGTAAACAGCTCCTGAGACACGTTGATTGATTCTTCTTGAGGATATCTACATTCGGCGTGATGTCATTGTGACTGAGACCTGGTTTAGACCTGGTTTAGACCTGGTTTGGACCTGGCTTGGACCTGGCACTTGGTTTAGAGAAAGGTTGAGGATTTAAAATCACTTAAATTTTGAGTTGAGTTTTGACTTGTTTATTTTGACTTGGCCATTTCTAACTGCCCCAGGGCAAACACACACTCACCCACTCACACACACACACATACACACGTACAGTGCCTTGCAAAACATTTCAACATTTCGCCACATTTCAAGCTTCAAACATAAAGATATAAAATTAAATTTTTTGTCAAGAATCAACAACAAGTGGGACACAATTGTGAAGTGGAACAAAATTTATTGGATAATTTACACAAATAAAAGTGGGGCGTGCAATATTGTTCGGCCCCCTTGCGCTAATACTTTGTAGCGCCACCTTTTGCTGCAATTACAGCTGCAAGTCGCTTGGGGTTTGTCTCTATCAGTTTTGCACATCGAGAGACTGGAATTCTTTCCCATTCTTCCTTGCAAAACAGCTCAAGCTCAGTGAGGTTGGATGGAGAGTGTTTGTGAACAGCAGTCTTCAGCTCTTTCCACAGATTCTCGATTGGATTCAGGTCTGGACTTTGACTTGGCCATTCTAACACCTGGATACGTCTATTTGTGAACCATTCCATTGTAGATTTGGCTTTATGTTTTGGATCATTGTCCTGTTGGAAGATAAATCTCCGTCCCAGTCTCAGGTCTTTTGCAGACTCCAACAGGTTTTCTTCCAGAATGGTCCTGTATTTGGCTCCATCCATCTTCCCATCAATTTTAGCCATCTTCCCTGTCCCTGCTGAAGAAAAGCAGGCCCAAACCATGATGCTGCATACATATCGTTGTGCATTGTGGCCAAAAAGTTCGATTTTGGTTTCATCTGACCAGAGCACCTTCTTCCACATGTTTGGTGTGTCTCCCAGGTGGCTTGTGGCAAACTTTAAACAAGACTTTTTATGGATATCTTTGAGAAATGGCTTTCTTCTTGCCACTCTTCCATAAAGGCTAGATTTGTGCAGTGCACGACTGATTGTTGTCCTATGGACAGACTCTCCCACCTCAGCTGTAGTTATCTGCAGTTCCTCCAGAGTGATCATGGGCCTCTTGGCTGCATCTCTGATCAGTCTTCTCCTTGTTGAGATGAAAGTTTGGAGGGACGGCCGGGTCTTGGCAGATTTGCAGTGGTCTGATACTCCTTCCATTTCAATATAATTACTTGCACAGTGCTCTTTGAGATGTTTAAAGCTTGGGAAATCTTTTTGTATCCAAATCCGGCTTTAAACTTCTCCACAACAGTATCTCGGACCTGCCTGGTGTGTTCTTTTGTCTTCATGGTTCTCTTTACGCTTTAAACAGAACCCTGAGACTATCAAAGAGCAGGTGCATTTATACGGAGGCTTGATTACACACAGGTGCATTCTATTTATCATCATCAGTCATTTAGGACAACATTGGATCATTCAAAGATCCTCACTGAACTTCTGGAGTGAGTTTGCTGCACTGAAAGTAAAGGGGCCGAATAATATTGCACGCCCCACTTTTCAGTTTTTTATTTGTTAAAAAAGTTTAAATTATCCAATAAATTTCTTTCCACTTCACAATTGTGTCCCACTTGTTGATTCTTGACGAAAAAAAATATTTTTATATCTTTATGTTTGAAGCCTGAAATGTGGCGAAATGTTGAAAGGTTCAATGGGGGCCGAATACTTTCGCAAGGCACTGTACATATACACACAAAGCTCGGGCTGAAAGGAGCAACACTGTGATTGGCTGGGAGCATTAGAGCTGTGCTGCCATTGGCTGGAGTGCAGAGGTCAGGAGGGTGAGGCAGGAAGAGTCAGAAAATCACAGCTGAACACACACAATGTTTGCATTCAATAAGTCCTGGTCTAGACCTGGTTCAGTCCAAGTTAAGACCTGGTTTGATTGAGGAGGATGACACATTACTCTCACCACATTTATTCGTATAAGTCTTCTCTAAAAGACACATCATCAGTAGATTCAAGGTTTAATTTAAAGTGTATACTTTATTGTCCCCAGAAGGAAATGTGTGTTCTGCATTTGACCCATTCTGTGAAACCACTAGAGCAACGCCCAGGGACCTATTTTCAATCCATTTTGGAGGATTACACCTATGGTGCATGGTGAACCTATCCCTGGCCCTGGCTCAGACCTGGTTCAGACCTGGTTCAGGTGTTATAAAACTTGTTGTTGTTCTCGCTGACTCAGCTTTTTCTCCCGAGTGTCAGATTGTGTTCTTATTAAACGCGGGCAGGTCTGGGCAGAGGACCCGTGACTTCCAGGGTTTTCCCCAGAGCCGTGGTCCATGTCCTGGTTCAAGTCCGACAATCTGTCCGTGTGGTGAATCACATAATCTCACGTCTGCAAATATTTATAACGTTGTTTGTCTGTCAAATTGCACACAGTCACACAAGAATAAAACAGGTCATTGAGTTCATCGACCACAGAGCACGCGATTTCGGCTGCTGCACCACAAAAAAATGGTTTATGGTTAATAACTCTGTAATTACGGAGCTTAAATCCACACAAACAACAACTGGCAGAAAGTTCAACGTCAGAATTACACAAATGCAGCCAGCGTAAGTTCAATTTGGTAGACGTCAGCCAAAGGTAACCCCTCCAGGCCGGTTCTCATCCCCAGCCTATCGCACTGCAAACGCCCCCTTCCAATCACCGGTCCAGCCAGGCAAGCTGCTTAAAAGCGGAGGAACTCCCATTCTCGGCCTCTTGAAGCTGCAGCAAAGAGCGAAGCCTTGCAAAGCGTCGTTCTGGAGGAATCGCTTTGTTCTACTCTCACTTACTTCGTGCGTGTCCCTGCTGTCCTCTGTCCTGCTGCGTGTCGTCTGCTCCTCCTCCACTTCGCTGCACCTGCTGCGGGTCTCGTGCTGTGGTCCGTGGGTCTTTGCCGCTCTCCTCCTTTGCGGGCTCTTTCTGCGGGTTCGCCGCTGCTCGTCTCGTCGCGGCCTGCTGCTGCATACGGCCGGTCTGGACCGGTGCGGTGGGAGCCGTGCGCATCCCTGCCTCCTCGTGCCATACGGTGTGGTCCCGTCGTGTTGTCCCTTATCTTCTGGCGTTGCGGGTAAGTATGAGATCTGCGGACGGTTTATTCCCCTCGCATTGTCCTACAGGCTCAGTTGGCCCCGCGCTTGTAATGCAGGCTCAGTTGGCCCCGTGCATTGGTGGGCAAGCATCAGTTTAAAGCCCTCGCATTGGTCTGCAGGCTCTCTTTAACCAAGCTCCGTTTAAATCCTTCACTCTGACTGCAAGCTCCGTTTAATCCCTCAAATTGGACTGCGAGCTCTCAGTTTAATCCCTCACGGAACTGCTTATATCTGGAACTGCTTACGTATTATGGAACTGCTTACGTATTATGGAACTGCTTACGTATTACGGAACTGCTTATGTATTACGGAACTGCTTATGTATTACGGAACTGCTTATGTATTACGGAACTGCTTATGTATTACGGAACTGCTTATGTATTACGGAACTGCTTATGTATTACGGAACTGCTTTTATGGAACTGCTCATATTGGGACTGCTCATACCTGGAACTGATTATATGGTACTGCTTATACCTGGAACCGCTTATACAGTGCATGGAACTGCATATATTGGTTCTGCTTATATCTGGACCTGCTTATATATGGATCTGCTTATATACGGAACTGCTTATACATGGATCTGCTAATATATGGAACTGCTAATATATGGAACTGCTAATATATGGATCTGCTAATATATGGAACTGCTAATATATGGAACTGCTAATATATGGAACTGCTAATATATGGATCTGCTAATATATGGATCTGCTAATATATGGTGCTAATATATGGAACTGCTAATATATGGAACTGCTAATATATGGAACTGCTAATATATGGAACTGCTAATATATGGAACTGCTAATATATGGAACTGCTAATATATGGAACTGCTAATATATGGAACTGCTAATATATGGAACTGCTAATATATGGAACTGCTAATATATGGAACTGCTAATATATGGAACTGCTCATATCGGAACTGCTCATATCGGAACTGCTCATATCGGAACTGCTCATATCGGAACTGCTCATATCGGAACTGCTCATATCGGAACTGCTCATATCGGAACTGCTCATGCAATATATGGAACTGCATATATTGGTACTGCATATATATGGAACTGCTTGTATATGGAACTGCTTGTATATGGAACTGCTTGTATATGGAACTGCTTGTATCTGGCTCCGTCTCCTCCCTCAACGACGCTGTCTGCCCGGACGCGGGGTGCCGCTCCGACCTGGCGTTCGGGTCCCGTCTGCAGAGCCGCTGGGACGGTGTATCTTTTTTTTACAGTGACGTCATCCCGTCCTCAGATGCCCTGCGGTTCTTCACGGACGCAGCCCCGTCCGTGGGTTTTGGGGGTCTCTTCCAGGTCCAGTGGTTCGCCGGGCCCTGGCCCGACGCCTTCCCTCAAAGCATCTCCTCCGCGCTCCCGATAACCTTCCAACGTCATCCGTCTGTTTCAGAGCCCAACTCAAGTCCGTACTGCTGCTTGTAACCTGTCTCCCCATCTCTACACAGCCCACTCCTTCGGATAGGCGCCGCCACGCGCGCCGCGTCCCTTGGGCTCCCCTATTCCGCCCTCCAGCAGCTGGGCCGCTGGTCATCATCGGCCCTCTCCTCATACATCAGGCCTGACACTTCGACCATCCTGGCAGCCCAGCGCCTCTTTGCATCTCCATAAAACACTTGCAAACTTCCTGGTGGCGGCAGCAGCTGAGTATCCGCAAGCATGGTCGCAGCAGCTGAGTATCCGCAAGCAATGGTCGCAGCAGCTGAGTATCCGCAAGCAATGGTCGCAGCAGCTGAGTATCCGCAAGCAATGGTCGCCCGCAGAGACTGTTCGGCAGAGACTGTTCGGCAGAGACTGTTCGGCAGAGACTGTTCGGCAGAGACTGTTCGGCAGAGACTGCTCGGCAGAGACTGCTCGGCAGAGACTGCTCGGCAGAGACTGCTCGGCAGAGACTGCTCGGCAGAGACTGCTCGGCAGAGACTGCTCGGCAGAGACTGCTCGGCAGAGACTGCTCGGCAGAGACTGCTCGGATGAGGATCCGCAAGTTTGGTCACAATAGATAGCGGTCACAGCATATAGTGATAGCGGTCACATTATATAGCAAAAAATGGTTAGCGGTCACAGTATATAGCGATAGCGGTCGCAGTATATAGCGATAGCGGTCACAGTATATAGCGATAGCGGTCACAGTATATAGCGATAGCGGTCACAGTATATAGCGATAGCGGTCACAGTATATAGCGATAGCGGTCACAGCATAGAGTAGTCTCGACGTCTGTCCCCTTCAAACCAGGCTGCAAAACTCCATCAACTCACAACCTTTTGGGGATTGGCACGCTCCATCGCAGAGCCCCTCCGATCTGAAGGCCGCACCGGGGCCTAGGGCGCCAAACCTCCTCCCAATAAATACTCAAAAGCTTCTTGTTTCACGTCTCTCCAAATTGAAATGCAGCCAGCGTAAGTTCAATTTGGTAGACGTCAGCCAAAGGTAACCCCTCCAGGCCGGTTCTCATCCCCAGCCTATCGCACTGCAAACGCCCCCTTCCAATCACCGGTCCAGCCAGGCAAGCTGCTTAAAAGCGGAGGAACTCCCATTCTCGGCCTCTTGAAGCTGCAGCCACCGCCTCCCCTCCTCCTCCTCTTCACCCTGCTTCATTCTGCCTTCAATCTGCTTCCCGCTGCCAAATGCCGCCACCAGTGCCTAGGTCCCGGGGGATTGGCACGCTCCATCGCAGAGCCCCTCCGATCTGAAGGCCGCACCGGGGCCTAGGGCGCCAAACCTCCTCCCAATAAATACTCAAAAGCTTCTTGTTTCACGTCTCTCCAAATTGAACTAACTTCATGTAATGGGTGTATAGAAAGCCTTAGTGACATGTTCGTCCCATATGAACCAGCCCGGACTCTGAGGAGCACAGGGACTGGACTCCTGTTAGTGCCCAGAGTCAGGACTAAACATGGGGAGGCTGCTTTTCAGATTCATGCTGCTAAAATCGGGAACAATCTTCCTGAAAATGTGAGACAGGCTTCTTCTCTGGCAATGTTTAAAACCAGGTTAAAAACTGTTTTGTTTAGCTGTGCATACAACTGAGGGATTTTATATTTTTATATTTATTTTTAGTTTATTGTGATTATTTATGATTTTAATGCTATCTTATTTTGTTCATCACTTTGAGTTGCCTGGTGTATGAACTGTGCCATACAAATAAACTTGCCTTGCCATAATAACCATTCGTAAACCACATGCAAAAATCATGCAACAAAAAAAAGATAATTCAGTGATAATTGATGAAGAAAAAAAGCAAGCAAGAGTTGACTGTCATCAAAAACAAATGTTTAATCATTCATCCATCTGTTCTGTGAGGAGGCGGGAGTCGGAGAGACGCACAGACTTCCCATTTCGAGCCCACTTCAGATCAGGGCCACGTCCACATGGTTCCCAGGCCAGCTGAGAGACATCTCCAGCGTGTCCTGGTCTTCCCCACCTCGTCCTTCTGTCATTACCCAAAGCTCATGACCAAGAGAATGGTCTTGAGAGTTTGATATTAGTGGGACTGCAGACGCTGCTCCCTCTGCAGACGCTGCTCCCTCTGCTGACGCTGCTCCCTCTGCTGACGCTGCTCCCTCTGCAGACGCTGCTCCCTCTGCAGACGCTGCTCCCTCTGCAGACGCTGCTCCCTCTGCTGACGCTGCTCCCTCTGCAGACGCTGCTCCCTCTGCTGACGCTGCTCCCTCTGCAGACGCTGCTCCCTCTGCAGACGCTGCTCCCTCTGCTGACGCTGCTCCCTCTGCAGACGCTGCTCCCTCTGCTGACGCTGCTCCCTCTGCAGACGCTGCTCCCTCTGCTGACGCTGCTCCCTCTGCAGACGCTGCTCCTTCTGCTGACGCTGCTCCCTCTGCAGACGCTGCTCCCTCTGCAGACGCTGCTCCCTCTGCAGACGCTGCTCCCTCTGCAGACGCTGCTCCCTCTGCAGACGCTGCTCCCTCTGCAGACGCTGCTCCCTCTGCTGACGCTGCTCCCTCTGCAGACGCTGCTCCCTCTGCAGACGCTGTCTCCACCACAACAGTCTGATAAAACCTGTGGTCGATGGTGACCGTTGGAGACTAACACTTTACTTCTAATGTCTGAAGCCTTTAGAATGTGTCTGTTTACAAAAGGCTGTACACAGTGAGCCGCTCAGGTGCATCTTATCTCTGGGTTTAAAGTGAATGATTTGTGTGACAGCTTCTCTCAGCACCACAGGATTATGGGATTAGCCGTGACTCCTGTTACTTATGGCTCCATCAGAGAAACAAACAAACGAGGGTGTTTTTTACATTCATGTGAGAGAAGGTACGGGTTTAGCTTTGGTTTCACACTTGTTGGGTCTTGGTTTTATTCCAGATTTAAACTTACATACTGCAGACCTGTGCGGGTTTGCGTGTTGTTTGGTGCCATGTCGGCTTTTCACCACAGGGAAGACAGGAACCAGTCAAAATAAAAGGGTCAAAACAAACTTCTCACTTTCAAATGTGAGTCTTAAAGTCACAGCTGGTGCACACAGGACCAGAGGGAATCACATTATAAAGGACTATGGCACGGTGGCTGAGTGGTTAGCACTCTCACTTTGCTAGAAGGTCCAGGGTTAGATTCCTCATTCAGAAGGGGTCTTTTTCATGTCTGCTTAGATTTCTTCTGTGTACAATAGCTCTAAAACATCTCTCCTTTTTAGTTCTGTGATGGGAGACTGCCAGGAATATCAGTGCCACAGTGGGGCTCTTTTCTATACAACATTTCTATTGTTGTATCTTTAGACACGACACCTCCTGCTGTGGCTACAGTTAGAAATAATAGTTAGAAGTTCTTTAACTGTGCAAAAATAAGGCACATAAAATCAAAGTATATAATGAATATGTTTATGATGAAAACACTGTAGTTAATCACGTAGTAAAACTGAACAACCAGAAGTTTAAACATTCTCAGTTTTCTGATATTGATTCTTATATAATATGTAGATAAGTACAACATTAATTCTTGCTTCTTCACTTTGAGATGTTCCTCCTTATTATGCTAAAGCTAGATATTTTAAACTGAAGTTAAAGGTGCATTTTATTGATCCCCGTAGGGCAATTCATCCTCTGCATTTAACCCATCCTGATCCCGCCAAGGCTTACATCAGGAGCAGTGGTCGCTGTAGTAACAGCCCCCAGGAACCCATCTCCAGATGTTGATGCTCAGCTTGGTCAGGACCAGAGCTGGAGGATTTAACATAGTGTGCATGTGTTTGGTGGTAAGGGAAACCGGAGTATACGGGAGGAAACCTGCGCAAGCACGGGGAGAACATTCCGAATCAGAATCAGAAAGATCCCAATCCGACCGGGATTCAAACCCAAGACCTTCTTGCTGAGAGGCAAGAGTGCTATCCACTCAGCCACCGTGCTGCCTTGCTTCTTTTTTATACTAAAGTTAGAGATGTTATTTTATTATATATTGTATAGAGTTATTATTCACTTATCTTCAGAAGAGAATTCTCTAGTATAGTAGATAATGATGAAGGAGCACACAACACAAGATACATGAACACAGCTCTATACTAAATAAAATAGCAAAATAGAATATCTAGCTTTTTTATAATAAGGAGCAGTCTGTAATAGATATCAAGAAGTAAGAACAAAATCTCTGACTTGAGAATAATAAAGAAACAAATAAAAAGTACTGTCTTGCATATCGCCGTAGGCCCCAAAATGGCGCCCGGCCCTGGGACCCTGAGAGTGTGAGTGTGGGGGGGGCGTCGCTGGGCTTTATATGAGGTTTAGACTCAACAGGATCCAAAGAATGTGTTTACAAGGACTTAGCTCAAGAAACAAGCGAAGGGAAGCTGCAGCTGAGACTCGGGATGGGACGGTATGAAAGCATGTATTTCATCTTGATTAATGAAAACAAAGGATGTTTTGACAATATATGGGCCTGGAGGGTTCTGCTCCTCAACTGCAGAGGGAAACACAATCATTCTGAGAAAAACAAGTACAAAGCAAAATGTCCTCTCATTGTATTATAACCTGTAAAAATGATAACTAGTGCATTAGGGTACAGCAGCGTGGATGGCAATTATGTATCTGATTTACTAATAATCGCCATATCGTGATTTATTTGTATCGTGAGGGACACAGAGATCCCCGAACTACTAGGATGGCAAGCCACGCCCACTTTCTTTCAGGTGACAGGAAGTGGGTGTGGACCAGTGGGAGTGGTTCCCAGCTCAAAAGGGTCCATGAGCATTCCTTGCCGGTGGGGGTGTACCCGGAAACAGAATAATCCAATGTATATTTAGTCTTTTTCCCTCTCGAAAGCGATTTTACTGCCTGATCCAAAAGTCGGTTCTTGGCTCACCCTTACGTTCCAGATGTGTGTCAATGCTGAGAGGAGTATTTTTTTTGGACCAGTCTAGTTTAGCCTCTGTGGACTTTTGAATGCGCTCGTTAAATGAATGGGGCTGGTGCCGGCTGACACATGCGCAAATGCGTTTTTTCACATTTTCCTGCAGGAGGGGCCACTCGCAGTCATTTTTCAAAAGACGGCCTGGAGGGAAAAATGATGACACATAAGTTTCAACGGCAGAGATAGGCTTCAGTACGTCCGTGAATATTTACAGTCTATGGTGTGGACACGGTTTGTAGACAAAGTTCTCATTGGCGGATGAGGTCGAGCCGATCCAATCACAACAGTTGAAAGGAAAACCAAAAGGGACATCTCTTTCTTACGATGTTGCTGTAGTTTTACCCACAATGGAAGAGCGTAGACAAGAGCCTGATGGACTAAAATAAAAGCGTTTGTTGTCAGTCTGTGTGCGCTGGTCGTGCCATGGCTGCATGCCCAGAATCTCTGTCTACAACAGTCCTGAGGGAGTTTGTTATCGGCTTTGTCAGGCGACCTAACCACCACAGAAAAATGCCATTGCTACCAAACAAAGAGGCCGCAATGATGGATGGCAGGTTTCACTTAGAGGTAGAACAAACTAGAAGATTAGGTCTACTTGTGTACGTTTTATTTATTCATTTAGTTATTTGTGTTCTTGTTGAATGTTGATGTGTCTATCTTTTTTGTTGTCTTGAATTAAAATAAAATAATAATAAAAAAGATGTGTTATAAGTTCTTTACACCTGTATCTCATCAGAACATTATACGAATGAATTAAGATGGAAGAATTTTATATTGACATTTCTGGATAAACTCAGGTCGTGTACGTCTGTTTAGTGTTTACTGTCGTCGTAGACTAAACAAGATCTCATCAGAGACGTGAAGCCAAACAGAGTCAGTTCTGAAGTTAAAGCTAAAAGAATCTTTCAATCCGCAGAACAAGGAACTGATGTCGGTGACGAAGAGAAATAAAGATCAAATCAAGTGGTATCTGATCACAATCAAGGAGTATTGTTGACTCAGTGGGATTCAAGTGAAAGTATTGCACAATATTAAAGAATGTTTCGCACCCTTTTCTTCAGTAAATATCATGGATCATTCTCATACAGAAAAAACCTGTTCGGATTAGAAGCTGGACTCACATTTTCAGGAAGACTGTTCCATATTTTAGCTGCATAAATCTTCAAAAAAAATAATGGTTCCCGCACACTGCTGTCCTTGCAAAAAAATAATAATAATGTAATGGGCAATGTTTTGTTTCAGTCCTGTGACTTTCATCAGGCAAATTGCTAGAGAGCTCCAGGTGGCCCGCCTTAAAGAGCGACTAAATACCAAAACAACTTTTTTCAACTCATAAACTGCATAAATATGTTTATTGTAGTGCTCTCTACACATCCTGGTCATTTTTTTTTGACATTTTAGTTCAAATTAGATAAAATATCACTTTTGAGCCAAAAAACGTCTGTGTGGCGCCCTTTCAACCTTTTTGGTGGTACTACATTTGAATTTGGTTCTGGCCTCTCCTGTCACTCCCGGATTCGTCCCGGAAACCGGATTCGTCCGGAAGTTCAGTTTGCGCATGTCAAAAAGTTTAATATGTCCTTAAGTGGTGACTGGTTAAGTTTAGGCGTCTGATTAAGATGGTTAAGTTTAGGGTTAAGGCTGGGTTGGGGTTATTTTATGGGAATGGCTGGTTAAGTTTAGGCATGAATAGGTAGTTTTTTATATTTACTTCCGCTTCCGTCCAGATTCCGTGACGTAATCTACTGCTGCCTGTGCTCATTGGATCAAATTGAACTTCCGGACAAATCCGGTTTCCGGGACAAATCCGGGAGTGACATCTCCATTGACTCTGAAGTTCTCTATGACATCAGTTGTTTTGTGTGACGTCAGTCTGTCTGTGCCAGTGATATAAACCCATTCAACTCTCACACACGCCCCAGCTGCAGTTTGGAGTATTCTGGCGCCATCTAGTGGATTAAAATTAAATTACATGAGTAATTCTGAGATTATTGAGTGTGATTAGGTTCAGGTGTGTAGCTTTACAATTATCTAAGTGTGTAAACAAGGGTGGAATGAGACTTTCTGGTCTGTAAACTATTGCTTTAAGCAGCAATGACAACTGTCTGTTTTTTTAGTGAGACAAGTGAGCTGTCAATCACAGCCCAGACCACGCCCAACTCTAAGCCCCCCTTCTTGTCCCTTGGTCCTCCAGGCAACGGCCTTTTAAAGAAACTTTTCAAATGTTCATGTGGGCGGAGTAAGGCTGTGCACAGGTGTTTAAGCTGCGTTCAGACCAAACGCGTTTTCTGCGGCAAAATTGCGTCTGACGCGCGTCTTGGGATGCTTGTGACAAATTGTGGCAGACGCTGTCACAAAGCATCTTGGAGGCGCGTCACACGCGTCCAGGATACTAGAGGGCAGCGTTCTGGAGGCGTGTCAAGGAAGAGCGTTGTGGGTCAGGCCTGATCTATTGCCAACACAACTCGGAGAGGGAAGGACACGGGAGCCAGGATTAAGGTAAAAAGTGTAAAATACGCTTTAATTAGGACATAAAAGTTAATTGTAATAACATTTGAGGCGAGAAATACCCCCCTCTATTGCCATATCGGAGGTCTGTTTGGTGATCAAATAGAACATTGTCGGACTTTTCTCCAGTGCAGAGAGCGGGGGTCGGGCAGTGCTCAAGCCGAGAAA